CAGTTCATTTGGATACAAATTTATATATTTTTAAATCCAACTTCACAAATAGCTATCTTTTTTAATTCACGTATAACATTATTTGTGAAGTTGGATTTAAATACATTTATTAATTCTGCTTTGCTCAAATGGAATTTTTTTCTTCCCTAAGGTAAAGTTTACTTATTTTCCATCATCTTTTTACAGGTGAATGAGAAATGTTAATATTTTCCCGTTTACGATAATTAAAAGTTTAACTTGTTGGAAAAAAAATATTTTTTGACCATATCCTTGTCCATCTACACCTTTTCTAAATTAAGCTATTTTATATTAAAATAATCCTAAAAAAAATCTTTTTAAATATCTAGAAAAGTATTTTAAGGGCATTAACAATTAAAAAGAAAAAGAGAAGTACACACATTAAAAAAAATATATATATATTTTTGAATCGAGATCGTATTCGACTTCACCAATAGCAAATCAATAACGACAGTTCTGAATCTATACATAAAAACAAAAAAAGTTACTTGAGGTTGATCTTATATCGTTGTCACTTGTCAAACCATAAAACAAAAATCAAAATGAAGAGAGGGGCCAAGGTTTATAAACGATCATTGGCTCATTTTCCTGTGAAACCAACCAAACCCACAAAAATCAAACACATGGTTAAGGAAGATTTCACCAAGTGATAATGACACTCAAATCATTTTATTCTTATCTCTCTCTTCTCTCTAATGGCGGAAGAATAGCATGGGCAGAAGTGAAATTTGATTGGATATTCATTTTGTGCGAGAGTTTTGACAAAGTAGAAAGAAAGCCTCTTGTGAGAGAGTTTTGACAAAGTAGAAAAAAAGCTTTGTGTTCATACACGTTGTTCCTTTTTCGTTTTGAGAATATCTCTTGTGATCTTTGTTTCTTTTGATTCGTTTTAGGTTAAATTTCGTTTTGATGGTTTTCTTTTGATGTTCAAAGTTTGATTTTAATTTTTATATCTCCTTCTCCTGATTTATTGTAAATGTTTCATAATCAAATCCTTCTCCTGATTATGTCAGACCCATTTTGTGTTTCTCTCCGTGACAAGTCTTCCTACAAAAACACTTTGGTTGAGAGACTAGATTCAAGACATCCAAGTTCTCATCAGACTCTGCAAAGTGAACAGTTTTATTGCTTGATATGACATAAGAGATTGTGTTAAGGATACAGAGTCC